CCGGGGGGGGAGGGGTGGCGGGGACCCCCAGCCACTGTCCCTGCCCGGTGTTTGCATGTGATCACAGGGCCAATCGCGGCCCCGCCTTCTAGTGGATTCCTTGCCCCTGCCAGGCTTCTGTCCCGTTCCCAGCTGGAAATTCAGAAAATACTGGACATTGCACATATCCGGTATTTTCTGAATTTTTCTACTAGACAGAGGGTGCAAATATCAGACTGTCCTGTAGAAAACAGGACACCTGGCAACCCTAACGAAGACCCTCTAATCTGGGTGATTAGGACAGTTCTAATATTCAGGAATGGAGAGAGAATGAATATGTTGGCTTCTTTAATAGAGAACACTGCACTGTGTGTGTGGGGGGGGGGGGGGAGAATAGATTTTAAAAATCAAAAAGTGAGAACAAGCAGCAACAAAACCCACCAAAGTTTCATAGCACGGACCTTCAGAAGAGGATTATGCATCTTTCAGTTTTCCTTTCCTGTCCTTAATCATTAACAAAGTGCACTTGGAGAAAGGGTGTAAATATTTAAAAATGTTTCTTGTTTTCTGTCAGTGACAAAACTTAATTGTATGGTAACTGGTTTCCTATTCAGCAATTTAAAGCTAGAACTGTGGTCACCAACCTGTCTTGACCAGTCAATTGTGAGGCGTTCGGGGCCCCACCCATTTCCTCCACCCCCTAGGAGTCCCACTACCTATTTCCAGCGACAATGGAGGTAGTGCCAGTGGAAATCCTGCAGCTGCGCGCCACTTCTGGGGCTTCCAGAAGTGTGCCGGCTGCTCCCCTCCCCCAGGTCTGTGGCATGCTGAGAACTTGCAGAGGGGTGGGGAGTCCCTAGAGAAAGGGCTCTCCGGGGCTTTTCTCCTCTGCGGGAGGGGGGAGTTGGTCCCAGAGAAGGTGCACGCCGGGGCTTCCCTCCTCTGCTGGGGGGGCGGGGAAGGGAGGGTCAGGAGAGGAGTCCCAGGAGAAGGCAGGTGCAGGGGGGCTCCCTGTCTTCTGCCCCCAGCAACACCCTGTTCCCTGCTGCAGAACCCTTTCCCCTCTCTCCTACTCCCTCTAGCACCCTGCCCCAGTACCCACTAGCTCCTTTCCCCAGTACCATGTCCCCTGCTCCCACCAGCACAGCTGGGGCCACATTAGTGAGGCTTAAGGGTTTTTTGGAGGAGTTACTTTTTTGCATCTCACTTGTGTGGCCCCAGCTGACTTTTCTGTGGGTCAATGACTCCTGCCTTAAAAGAGGTTTCCCACCCCTACTATAAATACAGACAATGCAGAAACTTTGAGTTTGACATAGTATTTTATTTAAAAATGAAGCAGGGCCAAGTCCTCATCTGGCTGCAGCATCATAACACTCCTGCACCTTCCCTCCCCTGACGCTAGATCTGAGCCTATCATGCACTGGACCCCCCTGCCCTGAGCCCCTCACATATTCCAACCCAAATCCCTGCACCCTCACGAAAAACTTTGGTTTTGTTTTGTCTTTGCAGATACATCTATATTTCTTTCACCAATGAGGGATATGCCATTCGGAATATATAAAATTCCTATTGTCGTAAGGGATAATGCAGGAAAAGAAGGAATAAGTATGGTTACAGTTAACTATTGTGACTGTACTACACCAAGTGATTGTAATAGGAGCCAACAAGTTGCACCAGCTGTTGTTCTGGGTGTATGGGCCATTCTTGCAATGATTCTGGGCGTACTATTACTGCTAAGTAAGTATATTAGTATTTTATATGAAATGAAAAATATTGTCTTTTCAAAATTAGATAAGATTCTAATATTAGATAAGATTCTAATTGCAAATTGATACTCCCTCGTCTATTAAGATTTTTATAACCTGTATTGCCATAGTATCTGAGCATTTTCCAGAAGCGCATTATATGATATGATGAATATCTGTCACTTAAGGTTCTTTTTCCTCTTTTCCTTTGTTTGGCGAAGTCGGGGGATTTTTGCATAGTTAATTTTTAAGGCTGTCATGCTATTAAAAATTAATCATGCCGTTAAACAATACTAAAATATCATTTAAATATTTTTTTATACTTTCTACATTTTTTGTAAAATATTTCAATTGCAACACAGAATACAAAGGGTACAGTGCTCACATTTATTTTTATTAGAAATATTTGTACTGTTAAACAAAAGAGATGGGGAAATTTAAAATACTGTAATGAAATTTGAACTTAGAGAAGATAATATTTACAATGTCCTCTAAAAATCAAGAAAGGGTTTCACATGGCTGTGTTGTACCTGGGGTTGCAAGATATTTACATGCTGGATGTGCTAAAGAGTCAAATATTTTTTCATGCTTCAGCCACCATTCCAGACGACCTGTGGCAAAATTTGCAGAAGATATTAAACGGCTCAAGATAGTTAAGACCAAAGCAGTGTGAGAAGCGCTTCAAAAAGATCTCACAAAACTGATTGGGCAACAAAATAACGAACGAAATTTAATATTGATAAACAAAGTAAGACACATTGGAAAAAATAATCCCAACTATACATACAATATGATGGGGCCTAATTTAGCTATAACTACTCAAGAGAGATCTTGGCATCATTGTGGATAGTTCTCTGAAAACATCTGCTCAATGTGCAGCAGCAGTCAAAAAAGCAAACAGGATGATAGGAATCAATGAAAAAGGGATAGAGAATAAGACCGAGAATATATAATTGCCTCTGTATAAAACCATGGTACACCCACATCTTGAATACTGCATATGGATGTGGTTGCCTTATCTCAAAAAAAGATATATTGGCATTGGAAAAGGTTCAGAAAAGGGCGACAAAAATGATTAGGGGTTTGGAACGGTTCCTATAGGAAGAGAGTTAAAAAGACTGGGATTTTTCAGCTTGGAAAAGAGGCAGTTAGGGGGGAATATAATGGGAGTCTATAAAATCATGATTGATGTGGAAAAAGTGAATAAGGAAAAATTATTTACTTGTTCCCATAATATAAAACTGGGGACCGTGAAATTAATAGGTAGCATATTTAAAACAAAGAAGTATTTCTTCATGCAGTGAACAGTCAATCTGGAATTCGTTGCCAGAAGAGGTTGTGAAGACCAGGACTTCAACAGGGTTCAAAAAAAAAAATTAGATAAATTCATGGAGGTTATGTGCTTCAATGGCTATTAGTCAGATGGGTAGAAATGGTGTCCCTAGCCTCCATTTGTCAGAGGCTGGAAATGGATGACAGGAGAAGGGTCATGTGGTAATTATCTGTTCTGTTCACTCCCTCTGGGGCATCTGGCATGAGCCACTGTTGGAAGAGAAGACACTGGGCTTGACAGACCTTTGGTCTGACCAATATGGCTGTTTTTATGTTCTTATGTTTCCATGCTGATGACTAGTTCTGCTCAGTATTAATCCAAAGAAACATGGACTGACAGATGTTTTTTCATCATCTGAGTGAGATGCCAGCTACACGCGGTTGATTGTCTTTTTGGTGGTTTGAGTTCTGTAGCTTTTGCATCAGTGTATTGTTCTTTTGAGATTTCTTATAGAATGTTCCATATATCATCCTTCTCAGATTTTGGAAAGCACTTCAGATTTTCAAACCTTGGGTTGAGTGCTGTAGCTATCTTTAGAAATTCCACGTTGGTACTTTCTTTGTGTTTTTTCAAATCTGCAGTGAAAGTGTTCTTGATGAAATTATTGCTCATTTCATTCAAGACAGCTGTAACATGAAATATATGGCATACTGATTGGTGAACATGTCCTCTAAATGAAGCATGAAGGAATATGAATTGTCATGTAAATATCTTGCAACATTGGCTACAACACTGTCATGCAAATGCCTTTTCTGACTTTCAGGTGACAACGTAAACAAGCAGGTAACAATCTCTCTTGTAAATGTAAACAAACTTGTTTGTCTTAATGATTGACTAAACAAGAAGTAGGACTGATGGGACTTGTAGCCTCTAAAGTTTTATGTTGTTTTGTATTAAGTACAGTTATGTAACAAATATTTATGTTGTAAGTTGCATTTTCATGATAGAGAATCCACTATAGTATACTTAAGTAAATTGAAAGACTTTTAAAATCATTTTTATAGTGCAAACATTTATAATAAAATATTAGGCACTTGCACACATTGTATTCTATGTTGCAATTTAAATTAATCTATATGAAAATGTAGAAAAACACTTATTCAATTTCAATTGGTATCCTGTTATGTAACAGTGGGATTAAAGCAGTGTTTAACCAGAACTAATTTTTAACACACTTTTTTTAGTTAATCATGTGAATTTAACTGCAGTTAATCAACAGCGCTAGTTGTTTTATTGAGCATATGTTAGCTGTGCTACATGTTGTTCATTTTGCATTTGTATTTGGAATAGAAGTGGGTGAAGTTTGTGATGTTGTGTTAAACTCTCACAAGATCTCATTTCAAAGCTTATAAGAAGGCTTTGTTGCCTGCACAGGTGAGCTTTACTCTTGTAATGGTCAGTTTTCAGTTTGATTTTTGCCAGAGATGTGGAGTCCTCCTCTTGCATCTTTGTGCAACATACATGTTGTGGCTTAAACCATCAAGGTGTTTTGAAAATAGAGGACTGGGAACTTGAAGCTGACATGGTATTTTATGAGAAGCCAGTGCAGTAAATGGCAACAGTCTTGATGTGCTTATGTTTCTGAGGAGACAGGTTGCCCCATTCTATACTAGCTGGAGATTCCTCAGGTCTGGACGCTTCATATTGAGGTAACTTATATTTGGTTTAGTCAGACTGGGAATAAAATCTTGATATGAGAGTAACAGGGTTTACTAGTTCTAAAATATGGATGGACATGGTAACCATAAACTGTTCAGTTTATTACAGCTAATACTTTATTTATCAAACACGTTTTGCATTTAAAACTGATTTTTTAAAAACTTTTCTTGTATGTATCCAGAATATTTGAGAGTTCCATTTAACTAAAGTTTGTGCATTTCTGATAAATAACAGATTTATCATTTTCTAACAATGAGAAAATGTAAACTTCAGAAATCTAAATGTATGGATGTTAATATAACTGCTTAAATAAATGTATATGTATGCTATATTTTCCTGGCTAGCAAAAAGCAGTATGAAATTTAGTGTAAAGGCAATACTTAGTTGAATGTAAACTTGGTTGCTAACCATGGAGACTCAACCTCCGTATGGGAAAATAATCGAACACCATCAATAAACAAGATCAAAATAAATTATTTAAATCAGGGTTTCCTGCTTGCTGATTTAAATCAATGCACCCTGTTTTCAAATATGACTCTTGCATACCAGAGTATTTACAGGCTTGAAATTGGCTAGTCACTAATCACACTTGGATTTGCTGGAGATAAAATACAGGCAGTCCCCGGGTTACATGGATCCGACTTACATCGGATCCCTACTTACAAACGGGGTGAGGCAACCCTGCACTAGCTGCTTTCCCCCAGCAGACCAGGGAGATGCGGAGCGGCTTTTCTCAGCAGACACCTCAGCTTGAGAATAAAGGACTGAGGGAAGTGAGGTATGGGAGAATAAAACTGAGCTCTGGAGAAATGTTTGGCTAGAGTTTCCCCTACAATATGTACCAGTTCCGACTTACATACAAATTCAACTTAAGAACAAACCTACAGTCCCTATCTTGTACGTAACCCGGGGACTGCCTGTACTAAATACTTTATCAGTACTAGGCAATGCATATATTCCTCTCAGACATGCACAAAAATCAAGTACCTTGTACTTAAGATGTGGTTTTTTTTTTTTTTTTTTTTCCATTTTGTAGTAATCCTGATTACGCTTTGTGTCTGTTATGGCCGGACAACAGTGCATAAACACGTGATTGATGATTCAGCTAATCAGAACTTAATTTTATCAAACACAGAAGCACCAGGAGAAGAAGTGATGGTGAGTTGTGGTTTTATTTATTTAAATATAGGAATGTGGAATGAAGGTATTTTAGCACCACAGTGTAACAGAGACCCCTTGCAAACTTGTGAATCAGTAAGTGAAAAGAAAAAATTAGGATAATGGATTAGTAAATGTACCGATCACTTGCAAAGCGGGTTTTATTTTCAAGTAGAGAGAGGGGTTAGAAAGGAAAAAGATAGGTGTCTCAAATCTTGGTGAGTTGGGGATGTATTTAATAGCCGAGGGAGAGCTACACATGAGGCCAGGCCTGGGCAAAATAAGGCCCACGGGCTGGATCCGGCCCACGGATGCAGTGGGAGCCCCGGGCAATGTCTTCTGCTTGCCCTGCACATCGCTCAAACGCAGCTGTGGGATGCTTTCTCTTTGAGTCGGGAGGGGAGGGAGAAAGATTCAGATGCTGCTCCTGCCCACAGCACAATCCCACTGTCTGGTTTCTGGACAGACACTAGCCAATGGGAGCTGCTTGTTTGAATAACAGGCAGCCAAGGAGCACAATTCTGGACAGACACTGGCCAATGGGAGCTGCTTGTTTGAATAACAGGCAGCCGAGGAGCAAAACCCTCCTGCTCAGTTACTCACTCAAGCACATGGCTGAGCAGTCAAACAATTTAAGCTCGGCAGGGGGGCAGGCTGGTTGGGCTGCTGGCTGGTCAGTCTTCTGGCCAGAACCTGCCTCTGGCCCCCACTCCTGCCCCACTACTCCACATGCACCCATACCACCTCCCAGATCTGGCACCTCAATATCCTGCCTGAGATCACAAACCCCTCCTATCCTAGATCACATCCCCAAACCCTGCATCCCAGTTCCCTGCCCTGGGTCCCAACTGCCTCCTTCACCCATACTCACTCCCAGACTCCGTTCTCCCTCCTGAATTTCAATCTCTTACCCCAAGTCCCTTCCTGCACCCAACTGCCATCCCAGATTTTACACTTCCTCCATGGAAGAGCGCGGCCTTCAACCACTTTCCAAAATCTTGGAGTGGCCCCCTATCAAATTATTGCCCACGCCTCCCTGAAGCTTCCAGCAGGGGAATGTAATGAAAGTGGCTGATCCACACAGAGGATAACAGCATGCAACTACTCTATCTCAACTGGTTAAAACAATATTAAAGTTGTAAAGTCAAGCACTCAAGTTTAAAAGTCGGGATGCAAATTATAGTAATGCATTGTTTGGAGGGATGTTATAATTGCACATAGCAGCTGTTATTTTCCCTCTTAAAATCACCTTAAATCTTTCTCGGGTTTCAAAAAGTTAGGAAATATCAAATTTACAGTTGCCTGTATAATCTTAAATTGGCCACCCTGTGCCTAGGTATTGTTAATGTCTGTCTTTTAATCATGTGATTATATAAAAACACTTTCTACAGGACTCCAGCCTTTGCACTGAAAGAGGCTGAAATGCCCAAGGGAACAAAATGAAGGTTGTACAAACAACCAAAAATTTGGCTTTGCAACTTTTTAGTGCTTGACTTTGCAACCTAAATAACATTTTATTGATGTAATACTTTATAGCATACTAGCAAATTATTTTTAATACAAAAGTATCTGAGTGCTTTTTGCTTCCCAAAGTGGTTGGTCCTGGGACCAACCCGGCAGCACCCCAGCTGCTCTCTCCCAGGTGTTCCCAAGTCAGCTGCTGCTGAAATGGACCAGCGTCTTTAGTGCTTGACTTTGCAACCTAAATAACATTTTATTGATGTAATACTTTATAGCATACTAGCAAATTATTTTTAATACAAAAGTATCTGAGTGCTTTTTGCTTCCCAAAGTGGTTGGTCCTGGGACCAACCCGGCAGCACCCCAGCTGCTCTCTCCCAGGTGTTCCCAAGTCAGCTGCTGCTGAAATGGACCAGCGTCTGATTCCACGAAGCCC